AAATAAACGAAATCTTGCAGCTATGTCTATATGAATGTTAAGTGAAGCATATAAATAGGCGTTTTTGCAATTTGTTTCCTTTCGACGTATATTAAACTAAAGGAAAAACATATTTATATGCAAATCCATATCTACACGCCAGAAAGCTTTGAAAATTTACAATTTAGTTCTCTGCATTTTTATGATGGCGCCGTTAAAAACACAGACACTTCGTTCACCGTCGGTCATAATTCAATTTGAAGTGAATAACCAACTGGCATTTAATCCAAGCACTCAAAATGCATTAAACTGGTTGCGACCAATTAGTTGCGTTGGCTTTCCACCTCTCAATGTTTTCATCATGTAATACACGTTACCTAAAACAACAATAAACAAGTAAGGTACGGCTAAGTTCGGGTGTAGCCAAACATTTTATACCCTTGGAATTTGCAAGGATCAAAACCGGGGAAATACATTCAGGTATTGGCAATATTAAAAAATCATTTTCATTTATATTGAACGCCAAACAATAATTCGATTAAAATATTGTACATTTTGATCAACATAAACGGTTCAAAGTCAGGTGGCTATACAATATAAGTGGCAGATAAATGAATGGCTAATTTTTTAAATTGTTCATTCATTGTTCATTTATAAATATATAAATATAAACATATATATGGAGTAAAGCCAGCCAGACTTTTCAAAATATGTAACAATTACGAATGTCATAGTAATGCAACTTACCGAGTTTGGTTGAAATCGGTCGAGCCAGTCTCGTGATATGTTTTTCTATTTTTCCTATTGTCCAATTTTGAAAGCGGCTTCTATAAAGCTCTCTTGTATGATCCCAGGTGTAAAATTTAATTTAAATCTGAAACATTTAGTTATTGATTTAGTAGTTTTTAACAAAACCTTTATATGGGGAGAGGGCGGGGTTATAATCCGATTTCATCCATGTTTACATTATCGGCAGGGGTTCTAAAACCATTTTTTCTAAGTGGTTATTGGTTATTGTAGCTTAAGTGGTTTAGGAGATATGTACAATAAACTTTATAGAGGCCGGTGCCACGCCTACTTTTTCAAAATGTTTAGTCTACAGGTGCCCTTGCTTCTGCAATCCCTTGTGCCAAATAACAGTTTTATGTATCAACTGGCAGTGGTCCTTAATTTTTTTCCAAGAAACACGTGTATCAAGTTTCATTAGGATATCCCTATTTTTACTCAAGTTGCAGACGGACGGACGGACAAACTGTCACTTGAATTTTAACTCATCCTGATCATTTATATATTATAACCCTATATTTATCTCGATTATTTTTAGCTATACTCTATTATACTCTGTATCAACATGTTGCAAGAGTATAAAAAGTGAGTCAATATAAATATTGTTGATTGATAAAAATGAAATGCCCAATGAATGATAACTAACTAATGCACACATGTAACAACCCATGCAAACACATAAGCAAATACATACATACATATGTATATTTATACTAGTAATATACCATACTTATACGCAGTAGCTAGAAGCTTATCTATGCATTTTAATAGGATTTTTTGTAGAGCCTCAAATGTTGACATTTATTGATAGATCGCTTCGATAAAAACAGCAACACAACCACTTAAAACAAGATACGTAAAACCAAAACAAGAAAAACTTTGCAAATATTTTCTAAAAGGCCTGAATCCAAAACACAACACTACAGAAACACAACAATACGAGTGCGTATATAAATATATTATTGAGGCGTACCTACCGTGCCGTATGTATGTATAAGTGAAATAGGCACAAATATGTCAAAAACATAAGCTAAAGTTCATATTCGTGAAAGAGCTCATCAACAATGAAAACAAAAATGTCAGCAAACATGTGGGTAGCACAGTACTTGCTTAGGCATACATACTATAAATATCATATCCGACATACATAGGTATGCTTGTGCTATGTGTCAGAACACGTAAGTTAACTTGCTCGTTTACTCGTTTTTATAAAAAAACATTAACACTTACCGCTATGTCATGTAGCTTGTCACAATCCGGTTGACTGTCTGTCCGTCCGTCTGTCGATATTGCAGATGGGCAATATTGAGAAGAAGTTTTTTTTTAGCTCCCCCTTTATACACTGTGAAATTGGGTAAAATTAGATAATAACCACGCCCACTCCCCATATAATGGTTATGTTGAAAACTACTAAAAGTGCGATAACTGACTGAATAATGCGACACAAGCATTAAATTTTACAACCAAGATGGTAGGAAAAGGCTTTATAGGTTCAGCTGTTTTAAAATTTGATAAGGGGCGTGGCACCAACCACCTTTAGGTGAAATCCCATATCTCAGGCACTACTTGCCTAGCTTCAATTAAACAATGATTTAATTATAAAAGGTTGTGTTACTTGAGACAGTGTTTTTTCTTACTAAGATATTTCTTTTAGTACAATTTGAAAAATATGTTTTCGAATCACAAAAAGCAAAACAATTCAGCTGATTCTGACATTATGAGTTAACACACTTTTGACAAATTGTTGTTTTTGGGCTATCGAAACAACTATATATAATTGAATCATGGGGTGACTTAACAGTTAACTGTTTGGCTTTCAAATTACTACGCGTGAGTGTAATTGTTATTTGTGCTGTTGGGTAAACTTTTGATGGCTTTTTGACTATCAAAAAATATTAAAAAGTCTTTATTTTATTGGAAGGCATTTCGATGGGACCAACTGAGTAGTTCACTTCTAGAAGATATCGGATCGGTTTAAGTGGAAGGTGAGGATTTCTGGATGGGAATATATTTCTTCGTGCAAATATGAAATTCAGAATATCTTTAAGATGTGAAATGTAAATAAATCTCCTCAGACACTGAAACTTAATAACTCCTTTACAAGCCTCGAAATCCAACTGGAAATCACATAAATACCACATTTAATTCATTCACCTCAAATAATAACTAAGTGTGCTAAGGATGCGCAGCAAATTAATTAGTCAATTGTTAAATCTTTGAATGGTGGAAATTTGAGTAACTCGCAATTTAGCAGTGAGTTAGCGTGGCAAGTCATTATGCAAATTGTTTGTATGTATATAAGCATTGAATGAAAACGCAATTTTGGCATTTCAATTGTACGCCCATACACCTTTGCGTTCACGCCCTTCCCGCATGCAATAAGCGTCTGCTCGGGTGTTTACGCTGCCAAGTGTATTCCTTTGCCTTTACACACCAATTTATATGTATTATATATGTGTTTGGTTTAGTGCCTGTTGCTACGCGCGTATGCTAAGTAGCAGGAACAATAAATAGCGAAGCATAGCTCTTTGTTCATTGTAAAGCCAAACAAACAAAATATAGTGGCAATTATTTATATTCTCTTCATTAGTTGATACACAATTGCCAATTGCCTTATTTACAAAACATACATACAAGCAAATATTATATGTATGTCTTAGATATGCCGTGATCGCGGTAGGAATAGGTTTAGAAGACAATTAATTTCAGTCGACTGTACTTAGCTGCAAAAAACTGTAAAGCGCTACTAATTTGCATAAAATGGGTCAAGGTTTGAATTCTTCAATTAAAAAATGTTAAATTAAAAATAAAATTTTTAATTCTAATTTTGGGAAGATTAAAACTTAATCCACAAAGTTTGAAACTAAAAATTGAAAATTTCATTTTTGTGATGTACAATACAAATTGTGAACACGCAGTACGCAAGCGCGACAAAATATTAAACAATTTTTTAAAATTATTAATTATAAATTGGAATTAAAATTTTTTTATTTTTAAATCCGAAATTTGAGATTACATTTCTCTTTTTTTTAAAAATGGGTATATTGGCTATATCTCTAAGTAACACAGGAACTATGATTTACCATTAGAGCTCATATTTAGTTAAGTCTCCAGTTGTCTACGACATTAATTCATTTATATATATGCTGAAATCTCTTAGCCTTGAAATTTATATTAAAAGAAAAAATATGATTAAACAAAATTCAACATTCTAAACAGTTTCGTTTATGATATATATATATATATGTATATATATGTATATATATATATATATATAAAGATATTGTATGCAATAATATGAAAAATTTAATTTTACCGTATGAGCAACCAAGTCATGGACTGCCTTATGACCATAAACGTATATTACTACATGTCTGTATGTATGGATGTATGTTATACATTTAAACAAGTGCTTAACTGCTACAAAATGGAACATATAAGAAACTCTGCGACCAGCACTTCATATTACAATATGAAAAAAATTTTTTTTTTTTTTTGCAATAAAAAGTTGCTCATACGCCCTGGCATGCAAAAAAGTTGACTCGCCAATGCATAAGTACTGTTGTAGTTCGCGGTCCCTTTTTTTTATGGAAAAATAAGTATTTAAATTGTTTAAACATTATTTTAGTCGTATTTTTACTTATAAGTGGATGTGCATATATGACAAATATGTTCAATATATACAAAACTGTGTTAATATGTATAATAACAATACAATATGTGTAGCATGGAAAATGCTCACAGATTCAACTCGAAGTGCTTAAAAATCTTTTCATGATGATTCGCGCATTTTTTATATACTTCCCTCAATTTGCTTTTTGCGGAAATCAATCAAAGCAATAAAATTTGCGCAAAGTTGCAACGTTGACAGTGCAAATGGTTCGTAGAAGGTTATGTGTTTATTTTGTGGATTTTGTTGAGTCACCATTTCGTGTGAGGTTGAGAGAACAAACAAAATTTTTTTTCTGCAAAGGATATCACATCAAGGAGAGTCGTTTGTATATATATATACTCAAGCATATACACATATAATTTCACTTGTATTATTGTTAATAGCATCTGTTGTATTCTTATGCTATTTTGAAAGGCATTTTGTATTTAAAAGTCATTCTGATATATAAAAATATTGCCAAAAAAAATTCCTAAAAATACTGTGTCATATATTTTAATAAAATTTTTAATATTATCTGTATACAAAAATTAAAATATCCTTATTTTTAATACATTCTCTCTTTTTTCAGCAACACTGCACCAATGGCTGCTTCGGAATTATCAAACAAGGTTAGTCGAAAATTATTGACACTACTGTATAAGCACTTTAAATGAGGCATCTCGAGTTTAAACATAATTACATTTACAATAATAAAATTTTTTTCTTTTTATATGAACATTAAATTTCGCAATGGTTAAATAATATGTTGCAAAATAAAAATAATTATATAAATTATTCAAAATTAAACCGTGAATATAAACAAAGTCGAAACTAATGAAAATTTTGTTATAAATTATGCCTGCTTTGTTAACATGTATATTATGTAATTTATATCCTTTCAAAGAACTTCAGTAAAAACCTATTTTTTACTTTTATTTACTGCTCAAAATAAAACATTTGAAACTCTCTGTTACAAAGCTTTATATCAGCCAACAACAAGAGTTCAGTCAACAATGATTAATTAATCAAGTACAGTCAATGTAGTTAATTTAAACATGAATATATTTATTTAAGGCTTGAACGTTACACCACAAGACAGGTATAAATAATAATTAAATGCAAAAGTACAGTGCTGTGCAAAAAACTTGTAAATTCTTTTCCTCATATGTTCCAGCAAGCAAAGCCTCATATGTTCCAAAATCAAAAGAGATTTTTGCAAATTTTTTAAAGGAATATGCTGAAAAATAAACATCAGGTAGCCCTGTTCAAAAATCCAATTCAATTCAAATTCTTAAAAAAATTAAATTTTTTCAATAAACTATTTCATAACTGTTGATAAATTATATGTTATGTACACGAACAAAGGCTTATACATATTTTCGACTGAAAAGCTTTTGAAACAGAGTTTCCGCACTGAAAAAAATAAAATGCATCAAATAGGGTTTCCATATACTTCAGTTTGCCAAACTAAAAACTTACCAACACACTTGATGCTAAAACACGGTTCTTTTTGATGTATGTTACTTTACTAACAAGTGATGGATTATATTATTTAATTGTAGTTTTCTGTGCTTTTAATCCACTTTACATTCTTGGTTATAATTACTTTAATTTACTCTCCATTGTACGCACAAGCAATTAGTGCCGGTAATTTGTAATTTGCCAATCAAATTGAACTGTGGCATTTAAGTCAATTGAAAGGCCATAACATTTTACATATTTGTAAGTAACCAATAAACCATTAACCATTTCGCTCACAACTTGCGGTTGCCATAAATCAGTCCCACATGTGTACTTATAAGTATAATATAAAAATGAAAATTCTGATAAAGTAGCTATTTATTCATGTGGACTTATTTTAATTGCTTGATGCGTGCATATGTCTCGTTAGGTTGCCTATAAATGTGTGATAAGCCGTATCAATAACAGTGTTCGTTTTAGCGCTGACGCATATACAGATGTTATTTAAGTCTAAGTCATTAATGCATTATATTTATTATGACAAGAAAATATTTAAGTAATTATAATTTTAAATTACAATATAATTTAATTCGGACTTACACAAGACAACCTCAAGTCTACGTAGGTTAGGTTAGTGAGTCACGTGTAGACCAGTTTTGGTTCTTTGCGATATTAGATGGAATTCCGTCACGAAATCTATGAGGATTAGTGATCCTTTACGATGCCTGCGCTTGATGTATTTCAAAAGGTACTGAGGCCACAATCATACTTCTTACAGTGCTTAAAGCGTAGGCTTACTATATTTTGTTTTTTTGGTAGATCGTTCACCAGCCCTACTACACTCTATCTCAACCGCCATTACCCGCGGAGCTATGCACGAAGGTTCTATGTGTAAATTCTCCTTGAGACAATGGACGCCCTGCTTATTTTGCCGTACAGCTTTCAGCAAAGAGGTCTGTAGGTTGCGCCAGTTCAAGAGTCGCCGTTGCAGTGGTGCTTAGAGCTTCCGTTATACTTATAGAAAAAACAATTTATTCTTTATGTTGATTCTTCAAATAGATAATTTGACCATAAAGCATTTATGATGTTGTTAGAAGGTAGGTTCGAAAAAATTCGTGTCAGCAAAATTTATTAGGGGTCTTCTCAAGCGAAAACATTCATCCTTTTTCCTGTATTAATAAGTTTATAAATTATAGTTTTACTAAAAGTTAAGTATGTGCAAGTAAAAAATAACTAAATTGACATCCCAAAGGGAACTATTTGTTCAAATTCGCATATGCAATAGTTTATAATAGACTTAAATAAGCAATTAAATGAAAAATATGTATATATATTATTTTTTCTCTGAGGCAAAATTCATGGTTGCTTTAATAATATTTAAATCGGAAACATCATAGCTTAAAATTCGCTTTTTATGTTCTACGTTTGTAATAACTATTTCAAACTAAAACATATTCGATTCAATAATAATAACAACAACGAAGTCCACAAAAACATTTGCCGGATGAATAAGTTTGTTATTTGGCAGCAAAATACATTTATCAAAAAGTTTTATTTTTTTGTTTGTGATTTAGCTTAATTTGACTAAATGGTAATTTGCTAGTTTCCGTTTTTGCAAAATGTTTCCTATAGAGTTCAAGACGCTTGTGTGAGTGTAGCACTTTAACCTGTGGTGAGCCATGAGATGGCCTTTAGTAGTGGATTGTATTTAAGAGCTTAAAGGGTTAAGCGACAGGAAAAAATATTTAGAAAACTGTTAAAACTAAATTGAACCGTGCAAAAAATGGGCAAATAAGCCTCCCCACCCACCCTGATTACTCATATATCATACAATTGGGAGAGAAATATAATAAAAATAAGGCTTTACCATCCACATTCATTAATCATATATAGTACATGTAGAGAATGGTATTCAACACATATATTTAAGATAATATAAGCTATTATATTGTATATGTAGATGAAGACATATTAGTTGAACTCTTATTTATATTTTTCTTCAATATTACCATATACCACATAAGAAATTACTATTTCTATACTATACAATTTTTACGATTAGTTTCTGTTTGACTATTATATTTCGGGTAGACTTTCGGTATTTCGGGTAGGATGTTCCTTTGCGACTAATCGCGTTCTAATCCCGGTCTTGTTAAATTTTTTTCAGAGATCATGCAGTAATATTCCTTGTATTAGAGGTTATATTTTGTTGTCTATCAATAGCTTTCTTAGAAATGCCCGTTTTAACTTAATAGCAACTACTTAATATCTAGTTCCTAGTGAACTAGTGCACATAATTTAAGGTTTAGTTATATTAGAATATATGTATGCAATTATGTGTTTCTCTATTAATAATTTACGGTTGTTATCCAGCTGTGAATAACAGTGTAATGGTTCAGCTAACAATTACGAAAATTTGCATGCTGTTTCGCTTTTTCTATGAATACAAAATAAATACGAGAGCATTCTCTCTAGTTTGAAAAGTCAGTGAGTTTTGTAGCGAAATATTAGTATTTTATTTTGTTATATTATATTTATTGATAGTTTTGGTATTCGTGGTTGATATTTATAATAAAGAGATGTCTGAAAATTGTTTTGTTAATCCTAGATTAAAAAAAATGTTGTTAACGTATATGGTAATCTATCTTAGCTTTTCACTGAGAGAATTTTACTTTAACAACTCTTTCTTGTTTTTTAATAATCCATATATATACGAGTAGTCCATAGTTTTCAAAACTTATATGAAAAACTGTGCAACATAAAATCGGATTAGTTGTAAATTTTACGAAAATAGTATTAATTTTGTAGAGAATCTCCCCAGTCAAATATTAGCCTGCTCATAAAAAAATTGTGATTGTTTTCTACGAATCCTTTTTTTAAATCCTAGCAGTGGTTTTTTAGAATTTTCACCGTATTACTACCTCACTATAGTTCCTGCTGTATATATTCAGTCATTGAAAAACTGTCTTAATTATCTTTAGTTTTTTACTAAGTACATATCGTTTATTTTATTTTTAATAGGAAAATTACTTATTAATGAAAAAATTTTCAGAAATTAGAATTCCGGAAAAAGCGTCTTAAAAAAAAGTTGTTCTAATTTGTGAGACTGCACTGTTTTTGAAAATATTCTTCAAAATTTGAAGTTCATACGGCAAATATATTCGGAGATATGAGCGTAAAAGTTTTTGTGACTTAAAGACTTAGATGGGTTGTTATTGTAGATGGGCGGAATTGGACCATTGCCACGCCCACAAAACGCCATTTATCGAAAACCCTAAGTGCGACCATGGGCTCAATTAGTGCTGAATGCGCCTTTTTGATGCACTACCGTAGGCTAGGCGTGTAATCTAGCTATTCCGTTTCATCGTTGCGTTCAAACCATTTGGTGCTCTCAATAAAATTACTTATATCCGTTATGCTTGTGGATAACCATTCAAGGTTTGAGGCGTGATACGTTCCAAGTATTTTTAGTTGTTTTTATGAGCTGGGCTTGTTTACGTATTCCCTTCTAGCTTGCAGCTGCGGCAAGTATTGTTATAAGACAGGCCATATGGCAAGTGCCCGCTTATAGTAGCTGTAAGTCTGTATCTAATATTTCTGGACCTAAATAGGAAATCATTGACGCTTCAAATTATCCTCGTGCTTTAGTATTGTATGTTAAATATTATTTTATTAGCACATGTTAGTTATTGATTCGTGACTAAAGTGGAAATTAGCATAATAAAAATATTATTGAAAGCATGGGTTTCTAATTTTGGCAAAGAATTTCATTCACTTTTTCGACAACAAGGTGTGCGAAATTTTATCTACAATACAACAAAATTAATATCTTTTTTAAGCAGCATACGTGTGTTTTTTTTTGTTTTTAAATAGAGATGTGCGTTAAACAAACCAAACATAAATAAAAAAATTAATTTTTGTTTATGCCATTACCACTGCGAATGGTATAAAAAACTATACACTCAACGTGTAGAGCAATAAAACAATTCTACTGCTATTCAAGCCACAGATGTTCAAATTGGCCGATCATATGCCACATTGATTTGTTCAACAGCAAAATGATAACTTTTAAAAAATTTTTGAAAAAAAATTGAATTTTTCTTTAGTTTTATTTTTGAGTGTTAATGCGTTTGTTTATTATTCTATAAACAATTTAGACAAATGCCAA